CTCCTGGCAGCACCACCACAGGTGGTGATGGTGTTAAGGGTAGTCTGAGTGTCCTCCTCACCGGCTTCCCCCCGGCAACACTGATGATGGAATTGAGGTGGGTTTTAAAGCATCTACCCAGGGTTGGCTCTGGCTGTGCTGCTGCTGCTGCACTGCTGCCACATGGAAACTGGGCAGGCTTGGAGCTTCTGCCCAGGGCAGGCTCTGACCCCCATTGCTGTTGCTGCACTGCCGCCGGTGGAAAATTGGGTGGGCTGAAGCCTCTGCCTGGTGCTGGCTCTGGCCCTGCTACTATTGCTGTGCTGCCACCAGGTGGAAACTGGGTGGGCTAGCTCTAACACCAACTGCTGTTGCTGCACCAGGTTATTCCTCCCTCCTCCTCTTCCTTTGTCTGCTAGAAGGGCTAGGAGGGTGGGTGGGCGGGCAGTTTTGCAGCCTCTGTGTCAGGTTCTTCCTCTCTCCTCCTCCTCCTTCACCTGGTGGGAGGGTTAGGAGGGTGGGTGGGCAGTTTTGGAGCTGCTATGCCGGGTTCTTCTTCTCTCCTCCTCCTCCTTCACCTGCTGGGGAGGGCTAGGAAGGCGGGCAGGTGGTTTTTAAGCCACCAAGCTGGGTTCTTCCTCTCTCCTCCTCCTTGCAACTTTCTCTGGCTGGAATGAGAGGGTCCCCTGCAAATATGAAACAGGGCCTTCACTGAGAAGCATAGGGTGCATTTGCACTGCAGAAATAATCCAGTTTGACACCTCTTTAACTGCCATGGTTCAATGTTATGGAATTCTGGGAACTGTTGTTTTGTGAGTCATTTGGTCTTATCTGTCAGAGACCTCTGGTGCCACAACAAACTACAATTCCCAGAATTCCATAGAATTGAGCCATGGCAGTCAAAGTGGTTTCAGACTGGATTATTTCTGAAGTGCAGATGCAACCATAGGGCCTTTGCAGACTGCTAGAAGCAGTGCAAATTGAGTCCACTTTTACTGCCCTGGCTCAGTGCTAGGGAAGCATGGGAATTGTATTTTTTTCTGAGACATTGAGCCTTCTCTGTCAGAGAGCTCTGGTGCCACAATAAACTACAGTTCCCATGACTCCCTTGCACTGAGCCAGGGCAGTTAAAGTGGACTCAATTTGCACTATTTCTGGCAGTCTGCCAAGGTCCTTAGTTTCAGGCAGGCTCATATGGGAATATTATACTATGGACTCTATTACAGTATTTTCTCTAGTGACAAAAGAAGAGCCAATTCAACACACACACATTAGTTATATTCACACAGGCAGAATGAAGTGGTTACCCCATGAAGAAGATCCTGAATGGATGGTCAGGAAATTGTTAGTTATCACCTACGTTATTTTCTTACATTTTTACTGCCAGGTATGAGAGAAGAATTCCTAGGAATTTCTGCCTTATATCCCAAAATAACGTCAAGTTGGGTTCCTTGGCTGCAATCCTGTTGATGCACTAGGCTAGTGAATGCCCTTTTCTAGGATCACACAACAGCAGTGAGGAGAAGCAGGCAGAATCTACTAGCTTCAAGCATCCTATTTCTCCAGTGCCTTTCTTCCTTTACACATGCTGCATTATGGCTTCCTCACCACCACCTATGCCAATGCCAAAACAGTGTACCAAAAGGATTCCAATTTATGGGTCTTTATTAGAAGGTGGGGGGAATCTGCTATTCTGCCTCAGGCAGCATAAAGTCTTGGGCTGTCTATGTATTGAACGTTGCTATAGAACGTTGATCTTATTCTTAAAATACAAGAATGTTTCAATCTGTGGAAGACTGTGTGCTCTCTATCACCCCTGCAATACTGTAGTGATAATGCAAGCACATTTTCTTTTGAAATAGTAGAAGAAAGAAAGAAAATACCCCTGAGGAAGAGCTTTGTAACATGAAACATGCTAGCATTCAAAGAAGAGAAGTGACTTTCTTCTGAACAGTTGGATGTAATTCATCTTGTTTTTGTCAACAGAATTGGTCACAGTTTTGATAAGTGAGGCTCTCCAGCCAAACAACAACAACAACAAAAAAAAAAACCCCACACCAAAATTTGTTAGGAACAATGAAGTACAAAATTAATGAGGTTGTTGGGTGGAAGAGACAGACATTCAGTTGATTTCCACAAACATTTGTGGACCTTCTCTGCAAGAAATGTGTTCTTTTTGCCTAGATAATGTCATGACATCCTTTTAGTTCACGTCATACCTGGATGCTTTTTCTACCCTGTTCCAGAATTTCCATATCTGACTAGCTTAGTACTGCCAGTTGGGTCTTTGAGTATGCTAAATACTGTGGATGATCCTGATATGTTTGATCTAAGCTTATCAATGCAGAAATGGACTCTGGGCATACAAAGAAAAGGCCAAGATTAGATGGGATACAAGAGAGGTTTGAGACCATGAGGTAAGCCATCCACTACATCCCCAATTCAGCACAGTACCTGGCAAATTCTTGACTTCCAAGGCAATTAATTCATCACAGACCTTGGGACCTTTATGTTATTTTTTCTTATTCAGATTTAAGACTTTCTTCTTAAATGTATATTTCATTTACATATGTGTGTGTGTGTGTATTTATTTACAGTTACAGAAAATTACAGTTATTATCTTAATTAATTATTGGCTCTGTCCCTGCACCTTAAACAGCACTTCATAATCTACCTTTGTAGTTCTTTTGTTCAAGGACTGCTGTTCTGAGGTCTGAGATGGAATGCCCAGGGAGACCAGAAAGAGAAAGAACAGAATTGGGGTTCATCCATAAACCACAGTCCCTCAGCCATGGATAGAACAAGGATAATGGTTCACTACACACATCTCAACACTATCTTACCCATTCCTCAGGGGGGTGTCCTACATTAATCTATTCTCCCCACCTTCAGGCTAGTTTCTAAAACCAAACTGGTCTTGCCACTTCATTTCTATACACAATAGCTAGTTTCCCATGTGTTTATTCACTAATGACCATAGTTAAAACTGGACTTGCTACTTCATTTCTATACACAAAGATTTTGAATTTGAATTGACATTCTCACATATCAATGAAATATATATCATGTGTCTGTCCCTGGTTTCCACTCCACTAGATGCATCTGAGGAAGTACACTGCAGCCTTCGAAAGCTCATGTTGCCAACTTCTTTCTTTTGTTTAGTCTCAAGGGTGCTCCAAGATCTCTCTACATAGAATTAAAGAATTGGGAATCCCGAGGCCATCTCATCCAAACCACTGCTAGTGCACAAATCCCCCATTAAAATACTCTTGAGAGGTAGGCATCCAGCCTCTATTTAAAGACTTCTGGTGAAAAAGAGTCCACCAGCTTCTAAGCTAATCTATTCCACTGTTGATCAATTCTTACTGTCAGGAAGTTCTTTGTACTGTTTATTTAGAATATTCTCTCTTGTAATTTGAATCCATTAGTTCAGGTCCTACAGGTCCTACCCTCTGCAGCAGTAGAAAACAAATTCATTCTACTTTCTAAATGACAGTCCTTGAAATATTTGAAGATGTTTATCATTTTACCTTTGAAACTTCTCTCCAAGTTAAACATACCCTACTTCATCAACCATTCCTCATAGGGCTCATTTTTCAGACCTTTTACCATCTTGGTCACCATCCTGTTAATATCCTTCATAAAATTTGGTGCTGAGAACTGGACACTATACTCCACGTGAGGTCTAACCAAAGCAGAATAAGCATCATTATTACATCACTTGATGTGAACACTATAGTTATGTTGATGCTACTTAGCACTTCATTTGCCATCTTTACCACTACGTATTACACCTGTAGTATACAAAACTGCCTAAATTCCTTTCACATGTACTGCTGTCAAGCCAAGTGTTGCCCATCTCATATTTGTGTATCTGATTTATTTTTCCTGTCTAAATATAGGATGTAACATTTATTCCTGTGGAAAAGAAAATTGTTAATTTTGGTGTTGCTCTCAATTTGTTAAGATAACATTGGATCCTTATTCTGTCTTCTGAGTATTAGCTATCCCTCCCAATGTGGCATTACCCACAAATTTAATGACCATGCCCTCTATTCTGTCAGCCAAATCATTTATAAAGATATTAAACAAAGCTGGACCAGGGATAGAACCTTATAGCACCCTGCTTGTCATTTGTCTCCTGCATGACAAAGAATGCTTGGTGAGAACTTTTGGGGTCTAGTCTGTAGACCAGCTATAATCTTTATTTGCACTATATGTTTTCTCTGAATGCTTTTTTGTATGACTAAATGGAGCTTTAGAAAATACTTTGGGATTCTAGATTCCAGAATGGCCAGTTTTTGAAGAGGGTCTGGAAGTCATAGTCTAGAAAAGTAACTTTTCCAAACTTTACTCCTAAGGAAATGAATCTGAAGGCAGAACAAGTCTCCTCTTTGGAAAATCTCACAAAAAGCTCAGGTCTTCAGTGTCCATTGTCATGAGTTTTTGATATTCTCACTGTGGCATTTTCTCATTTGTTACATGATAGTTGAAGATGGCCATTTTTGTTTTAGGGTCTCTGTTTATTGACATTTGTGTGGGATTATGCTATCTTAAATTAAAAGGGATACAGTGGCTCAAGTGGTTAAGACACTGACTCTGTTG